TTAGCTGCCTGCTGGGTTAAACCACAGCAACGTGTTACAGGAAGATAAGAACTGGACCTTAGCAGAGGATCTGTCCCATATGCGCTCCACTAGCACTAGTTTTTTGGGGTTGTTTTTTTTAATCTAACTCTGTATTCATTGAAGCACGTTAATAGATTAGGGGGCCGTGGAGGGCCATGGCGAATATATTGTCTATTTAATACCACAGTCACAGAGCATGACAGTCACTCTCCATTATGCCAGTAACATCAGTTAGAGATAGTGTTTTGTTTGTGTGTGGGTTTTGTGTGTTGATTTTTTAAGGTATTGAATTCAACACTTAATGTGGCATAGAAGCCACCCCATTTCTCACCAGTGTTTCCATAGTTATTGCTTTCCTTGTAATATCTTGGGCCGTATTTCTCCTCAGGCTTCCTGTCTTTGTCTGCAGAAGGAATGACTCCATTCACTGTTGGCATCTTCTCCCTGTATAAGAACCTGTAGACCATGGCCAAGTTGTTGGTTTTTATTTTCTTGTAGATAAACTGAATAGTTGGGGTCAGCTGAGGGCTTTGCCCTTTGGTTTCTGTATTAGGTGCTCTGCAGGGCCAGTTCTTTAGGCCTCGACAGCCAGAAGGGCACTGAAACCCACCATAGCCAAGAAATGGGTCTTCTGGCTTAATGGTGAAAAGATTCAGGCCGCTTTCTCCATCAGATACCTACCTGGCTGGGCTTCTTTTCCCTGTCGTCTCTCAGAGCTGGGCATCGTATAGCTTATTTTTAGTAGACAAGGATTTTTGCTGTCGGAGAAGAGTATCTGGTGCAGTGACCTTCCCAGTATTTCATTAGTTGATGAGTCAGACAAATGGATGCTGGGTATCTGGCAATGAACCTCAGTTCCATTAGGGAGTGGATTTTAATAATAGAATTAGAAAACTAGCAACAATGCTTGGGGATCCACCGTGTAGATAACAGGCTTTTACTAGGCTATATGTAAAGCTCCTTGGTAATACATGTTTTTCCACTTGAGTTTCCAGGGTTAATGTTTCACAGCGCTTAAACTGATGTTTGTTGCTCATGTCTCCCCTGTAAAGAAACTTAACCAGGCAGCATGTTTCATTGCAGGTTTCCAAGAAGTACAGTGAGATAGAGGAGCTCTACCAGAGACTGGCAGCACGGTATCCACAGGCTTCACTTCCACTCTTGCCAAGAAAAGTTCTTTTCGTGGGGGAATCTGACATCTGCGAACGAAGAGCTATGTTCAATGATATCATGAAATTCATCTCAAAAGATGAGGATCTAGCAACGAGTCCTGAGTTACTGGAATTTTTAGGTAACTAAAAGATGTGAGTGTCCCCTCTCCCATGAATGTGCTTGATAAAAGCGTTATTAAGTTCTTGACTCATGGAGTCAAAAACTAGAAAATGCCAGAGTAAAGGCTATCACTGCAAATATCTTCTTGTGCATCTACAGTGCTGCAGAGTCATGTGTGATAGTGTTTTCCCCTCTTCTCAGTAGACACATACCTCATTTAGAAGTGTTGATACCACAGTGCTCACTTTGAAGGTACTATCCCACTGTCTCTGATTTCCCTAGGCATATACCTAAGCTGTGATTCAGAACACCTAAGTTTAGAAAGCTATATAATCATATATCGTCAGTGGCAAGATGGACCCTAAAGAGACAGTGCTCTACCTTAGTGAACAACTGTTCCGTGTTTTGTCTGGTTTTCATTCCTAATAAAATTAGCGTCCCGAAGAAAATTATTGACCCTGAGAAAGATCTGAATAAAAGCCAGATGCTTTCTTAGTTAAACCCATTCTCTGGCCTTTTTCTTTTTTCTTTTCTTTTTTCTTTTAATTTTCTTTAGTCTCATGTCCAGCTCTTGCTGCCTCTTTCAGCGATTCATTTAGTTCCTTTCTTATGTTCCTTGGGCATAGCAGGGAGTCATCGAATGAATGAAACAGATGGGCTCTCTGCTCTTAATTCAGCTGGGAGCTACTGAGCAGGGAATACTCCAGCCTAGTGCTGTGCAGGATTCTCAGTGTAGCGTTAGTTTTAAGGAAGTGAAGTTGTAAGGTGCTAGCATGTCACTGTGTGTGAACAGCTGATTTTGCAAAAGTGTCAAGTGTGGACAGATTAGAAGTTCTGTGAGACTGGCAGCTTTCTAAAGTCAAGGGGAGCAAGACTGCATAATATTTGGCAAAATTCTTTTGCTAATAAGGTTTTGGATTTTTTTTTTCCCTGGCAGTGTTCTCTTGAAAGTAGGCCCCTTGCACAGAGAATTCAGAATTCATGTTGATTGACTTTTGCATGCCGATTAACCTAACCATGGTGTACATGTCTACAGCTGAATTAGTCTAGACTGTCTTTATACTGTGGACAGATTGGGTGCAAGTAATCTGACCTGTTCATCAAAATCTGCCATAGAATAATGTAAGTATCGCCCTACCAAACCAGGTGGAATTCAGTACATACACTGCAGATCCTCAAGCTAGTTGTGTACGCTTTCCTTACAGATGCTGGAGACATAGTCAATATATTCAGGGGTGTTTAGGGAGAATCAACATGGTAAAACACAGATGACTGTGGGGATAAGATAATTAGCATCCTAACATCCACTGCCTACCCTGACCATCACTCTCTTGCCTATAAGGGCAGCATAAGACCACTTCTTCAGTGTAGACACCCACATTTAGTCAGTGAAGCCTGCCCTGGGTGATTTGGCTGATGCAAGTATGAAAAACTGGGTGAGATGAGTCTCTCATGCCATGTTACTTTAACACTCAAAAGAATGAAACCATTAATTTTATCTATTGTGGTTTTCACTGGCCTACTTTTAGTTAGTCTCATTATTTTAAATTGCTTTCCTGAACATCCAGAGACTCCACAGCAAGGAATAGTTCTCTCCTCATTCTCCTGGGCTTTGCATATGACAAGTATAGTGAGAAGACTTGGTCAAAGCGCATGTTTCAGTTTCCTGAATTTGCATACTGAAGGGAGTTAGAACTTTAGGCTTCGGCTTTGAGTGTAAATTGAAGAGCTTTTGTGGAAACTCTTTTTCATGCTGTCCAATGCTCTAATTTTAGCCCAAATGAATTAAATCAGTAACAAAAAGTTGACTTTATCTCAGTTAGCTATATGAAAGTTAGCTACCTATATCTAAGCAGAGTATTTACAGCCTCTCTGTAGCCAGTGGAGAGAAACAGGCACTTCAGAGGGAAATTCCTTCTTGGACAACTATGGATGGGATGAATCACCATGTGGAAATTCTATTGTCTCCATTGACTATAGAAGGAACATAAATAAGCAGATCAGACATGCACGGCTATGTCCCAGATAAAGTTCATTTCCTCTGTCCTTCTCAACTACTTTAAATCAGTAAACAGATCAGACACATAGTGACGCATCAGTGGATAGAAGGGACAGTCAGGAATGTTGAAAGAGTTTCACAAAAGCTGATCATATCCTTTATTCCCCAAAAAACCCCATCAGGAACAGGTGCAAGGTATTAAATAAAACATGGTTATTATCCTGTGTACTCACTTTCGCATCCTTTATTGTATTTTGCAGGAACAAAATCTATTAGTGCCATTGACTTCAAGGGTATAAACATTCCTGATGACAAGGAGAGAGAAGATGAAGAAAGTGAGGCACTGGATTTTTTCAAAGAGGAGAAGACACCTGACTTAATCTCACAGCTTTCATCAGTGGAAAATGCCAAAAAAGGGGAGAAAAAGGAAGAGGAAGAGGAGGAAGAAATTTTAGACCCTCTCGGTATAATCAGGTATGGCTGGTAGTACCTTTGCTATTTAGGTTTTAGCATGGTTTTCTAACCAAGTAAGTCTGTTCTATGTCACTATCCCCTCATCCCAACATTTTGTAATATCAAGCACTTTCAACTCAATTTGACAGAGGAGGAGAGACCTCTGATACCGTGTTCCTATCCAGTTCATGAAGGAGGTGCCTCGGTAGAGGAAAGAGACTTTGTAGTGCCTCTTCAGAGTATCCAAGTGACAGAGGGACATTGTGAATGCCTTGATAACAGTGTCAGCTACAGCAGGTACTTTACTGAACACTGCAGGGTCCCACCACAAAACATAAAGCCACCAGGCTCCATTGAATGTGTTGCACTGGAGTACACTGGTGTTTACAGTGCCTGGTACTGCTTCTGAGCTGACTTGCATCTACAAGGAGGTAAAGTTATAGCAGTGTAAAGACCAAAAGAGCCAACATTTCAATCATCATGTTCACAAACAGACTTTTCTTTTCTTCTTCCCTTATCTAAAGGTGTCACATGCTAAGTGCTGCTATGGCATAAGCAATAACAGCTTCAGAAACAGAATAATTGAATCAAAGCTTGCTGAAGTTAGTGTCTGGATTTGTTTACCTGTCCAATAATTTTCAGACAGTTATTTTCTTCACTTCAAGATGGAATTTTTCACTTAATTCCCAAAAGCATTTCTAACTACTGAAGCCTGGAAGCAAATTTAGTTTCTCAGTGGCTGGGATCATGAGTAATGACTACATTTTTAGGGTGTCTCAGGCTTTAGATGCCCAAGTAGCAAAGGCTTAGCTGTTCTTGATCTGCAGTAAGCGATGACTGACTCAACTGAATTGTTTCAGCCACCCACAGTCATCAGCCACTACTGAATGTTCTTTGTCTTGGACCCAGACAGTGCTTTCAAAACGCTTCTTCACAGCAATAGGCAGTAACTGATAGTAACAAGCCAGAGCCCCCTCTTGGTGTTTCCCAATTTCCTTGAATCATTTCCAAGGGGATCATTCACTCCAGGCTCTAAGCCGGAGTCTCCTACATTAAGTTGGGTCAACTACAATGATTAATACTGGAAGTGCCGTTTGGACTTTCCTCCTGCTATTATAATCATATGTAATTGTTGATATCCAGATATCTTCCTTTTTACTTGAAGTATTTAGTCCTTTACGTATCACCAGAAAACTTTAAATATTATTATTTTGACAAAGCATGTGCTTAATTACTCAGCATCAAAATTATTCTTCTGTTGAAGAAGAGTTTAAAAAAGTTAAATAACTATTTACAATGCGAAGTCAGATAAAGCAATACTTCCCACAAAATAGTCCTTAGTTGGTAAGTTTACAGAAGAAGCTGTCCTTTTTTGGATAGGAAAATGATCTATTGGGTTAGCAAATGCAATGTTGTATTTTCCGACTTACAACAAATAGAAGCTGTAAAGAACTTGCTGTGCCAAGAACAAGCAAGAAGTTTGCTTTTCTGTTCTGCACAGTTTGACATAGCATTTGAAAGTCTTGATTATTTTGGTCTTTTAATGCACTGAAGGATGACAAGATCTGGTATTTAATCCTCATTTAGTTTATTGCTTTCATTCCTTTTGGGAACAGAATTTGTACTGAATCAGAATAACTTCATTTATATAAGAAGTGTGGTCTGTACTGGTACAGAGCTGCAGCATGACATGTTATGCAGTCAGATGTTTTTCCCTGTAAACTAGTGGTTGGCTATATATAAAAAAAATTCTCCATATGTATTTACTATTATTTTCGTAAGTCTCACATGTACAGTTGTTGAGGCAGAAACATGAAGGTGGAAACGAGAATCCTGAATCTGGTTGTACCCTATCTCTAGTCTCCTGTAACTCACCATGCTTCCATGGAAGATATTTTCAATTCACATCAATGGAGATCAGATCAGACATAAGCATCGTACTGTAGCTTTATGCCATCTGGTAATGGGTGTCTAGGTAAGAGGCTAAAGGCAGGAGATTAGCTGTCAGTGGATGGGCATTTCTTGGGTGACCATTTTAGGGTGTCTTCTGTGCCCATTAAAATGTTAGGTGCTTACATGCTTTAAAGAGGAAGCTTGGAGGCCTCACATCTTTAGTGCTTCACATGTGCTTGAAGTTACTTTGGGATGGGGATGAATAGAAAAGTAGTTAATGCAGACTGGATAAATATGTTTAGTAGTAAACTGCTCCCTAATGCCTAGTAAGTTCAGGTTTTTTTAAAAAAATAATAATCCATGATTCTTTCCCCTGTGAAAAACCATTGAAAAGATGTAAAGTCAGCAGTGAAACAAGCCATTCCATTCCAAGCAGTATTGGTGGCCAGGGTGCTTTGAGCAGCAGAGATCTGACCTAAATTGAATCATGTGTTTGGCATAACCTTACAGGTTTTTTTTCTTTCTGGATGAGGATGAAACTGCTCCAGTAGCGCAGGCCTCCATATGTTGTCAGCACGCTTCATTTGGTAACAACTTTTCCTCCTGGGCCAGAAGGCTGTGACTTGGATTTGGCCCAGCACTGCTGCTGTGCTACTGAACCACCAGATATCCAGTTGAATGTACTGGCCTTAGGGGTAAAATGCTAAACTAGGGTCTTTTTTTCGGGTTTTGTATTGCTGGTGATCATCCAGGTGGAAGCTCATAATGGTCTAATTCCTTTTGCCTTGAAGAGACATCCTAGTTGTGCCGGTTCTCTTCCTCGCATTCAAGGCTGTGTCTGCGTTGCTCTTTCATGTCTAATGGGCAACTCACTTGCCAATTCTGCTCTTCAGCTTTTGTGGCTATAATAACGGTCTACAAACTTTGTGTTTCTCTGCTATATGATTCTTATGCCAAAAGCTTTTTTTTCTGTGCTAGCAGGACGATCTTAGGCCATGTCTGGGAGTCTTAACAACAGACAGACTGTTTTTTTCTTGCCCAAATCAGGGCCATTTCGAAAACTGTAATACATATTTCTGATGAAGTTTTCAGCTTTTAACACCCCTCCTCCTTTTCTTTTTTTTTGCCCTACGCCTAGTTCTTCCTAGAATAAGAGGTGCTCAAAATCAGGCTACATTTGTGGGGTGTATTGTTGAAATTCATTTGAAATATGTTTTTGAGGGGTATATCTTCTCTTTTCCCACTCCTGTTCTTGACAATTTGGAGTGCTGTTATTCCAGTGTATTGTCACCAGTTACTCTGCAAGTTTTCCTGGACATTTGTAGAAATCTTTTCAGCTTTGGACAGAATATACAGGTCCTGTAAGAACAAACACTCCTAATACTGAGTAAGATGGCCCTTTGACATCAGCTGTGTAGCAGGGAGTGAATGTAGTGTACTCACTTTTATAGCAGTGGCATATTTCTGGCTCTATTTAATTTTTCTTGGCAGCCTAAGTGTACAGTGACTTCTAAGTCACAAGGTTTTCATAGCCAAACTATTTTTTTTTAAAGTTACCATCTCATTTTTTTCTTTTTTTTTTTTTTTGTAAGCCACAATCATTAGAATATCCCTTTGTTAAAATGTTTTAATTGCTTTATAAGTGGGAAATCAGATGTGTATTTTACTCCACACTGTAGGGACAACAGTAGTTAGATTGACTTATCTTTGTCTCTACTGTTCTCCTTAAAGAGAGCACAATACCGCTCTTTATCACTCTTCTCTAAATCCATCTATCTCAGCGTTTGCAGAAACATGTATTTATGTGCACGGTAGGCTACCGTGGTGCTTTGACAATATACCTGGATTTTTAGAGGTGCAGTGTCTTTTAACAGTGCTGTCTTTTAAAGGATTTTCCTGGTAAATTACAAAATATTACTGTGTGGCTAGTCACAATTGCAGGGGTTTCTCCAACTGGAATGCCATCAGGAATGAAAGAAGCAAGAATACTAGATCTGAAAGAGGCTAATCCTGTGAAGGGAAAGGCATGGAAGATGGAGAAGCTTTTCACCCACAGCTAGGATATTCTTGATGATACTGCTGAAAATTCTACAATGGAAAAAGGTGCAGTTTGCCAGTAGTTTGAGAGAAGATTTGCGTGTAGTGAAGAGAGATGTGTGAAGCAGAAATCCTGAGCAGCATCAGTGCTAGTCAGCTGAGCCGTGCCAGGGCGCGTTGGCTGAGGCTGACTGGGCAGTATGTGGCCATGTCTATACCATTACATTCTCCTGTCTCCCAGAGTAGGTTTGCTACATCCGGAATGCCCATTGGGAATGGCTGCTGGGCTGTGCTGCCTCCTGGGCAGTGATTAGGATCATTTAGGAGGAGGCAGGTTGTCCCATGCCAGGGGAGTACTAGAGACTGTCCTAACAGTTGAATTGTGCTCAGGCCCAGGGTGTGAAGGAATTACTAAAAAAAAATAGTATGACCTTGAGCTCCTCTGCCCACAGGGATTAACTTTCTGCCTGCTGCCGTGTTTGCTCCCAGCCTGCCCTGAGGGTTCCCTAGGGTTTTGCTTTCTGTAGGGAACTCAGGTAAGCGGTTGTGGATTTTTTTACTTGATCCAAGGATCAAGTTAGGCATTTCTAGCTCTGAATCTCAAGACAATTTTAAAAACACATCACAATAACTGCATTGGGTTTTGTCTTCTCCCTGTGTGGATGAACTCTGCAGTTTTATTGTTTGTAGGTTGAAGCCAAGAGCTTTAGCATCTCTCTCCTCTCACTTTTTAGTTAAAACAACTGAATTTAGCACTTGAACTCAGTTCACTCCAATAAATCTGAGACAGCAGCTGATTAAAATGCCTCTGAACAAAGCAACAACAATTTTGCCAAAGGAGCACGAGTGCTTCAGGGGCTAAAGCATGCAGCAGCCCTTTCAGTGCATGCACTTCTGCAGCTGCAATTAACTTCTGAGGTAATGTTTGTTCACCAGCTTGGGACAGCCCACCTTTTCCTGTGCTTCCCTTTCCTGTCTTCATCAGCTCTCCGCAGCCCTTGCAGGAGCCTCTCCTCCACATGCGGTTCCCTCCCTTCCGTCTTTTTTCCTTTGCATCCCTAAATCTCTCAGTGACAGCGTATCTTCACTCA